ACGGCCTGAGTCCCTGGAGGAGCCAGGGTGATCTACAACAGCGCGAATGAGAAAAGAGGTCCATACAGAGGGGAACAAAGTAGGAAGAGGAGCAATGAAAGAATATGCCATGAGGCATGCATGGTAGAAGGGTGAAGAAGTGCCAAAAGAGGACAAGAGTCCTAGAAGTATGGGGGCACATGATATGCCTAGCCCAGAGAAAGGCACAAGGTGTGCAAGAGAAACATGGACAGAGGTCTGAGATAGCGCATCAAGGATGCAAATATCCCAAAAGCCACATACAGCAGCGAAGAAGAAAACACCCCACACACAAAACACAAAGGGGTGTGTAATAGAATGTAGAGAAAATGTGGGGAAGGAATAGAAAAGGGGGGAACTCATGATTTCAGCAACCTTGGACGCTAGATCAAAGTGCGTCAGGAAATCTTCCTTCTGGATATGCCAATTTACAGAGGGTTGTGACTTTGAGCCCTTGGAAAGATGCCTACAAATCCTAATTTTGTCAGGGGTGCCGGGTTGCTGGGGCTGGATGTCGACAACGAAAGGAGAAGAAAAGAAAGGACCACGCAGGATAAGTTCCACCTCCTCACAAGAGAAGGGGCCTGACATCCTACCAGCGAGAAGTTCCTTTTGCAGGTAATCCTGTATATCTTGCAAGTAAGGGTAGGTGGAAGGGTTATTAGGAAGGATAATAGATTCCAAGAGACCAGGCATGCATCCGAGAGGAAAACCATGCCTCAGGTTGTCAGAAAGGAGAGGATAGGCAGAGTAGAGACCATGCTTGAGGAGAAGAGAGTTGAAGGCATCAGAATTATAAGGGTGCGCAATGCACTCAAAAATAGAAGAATGGTGGACAGTGGAAAATGTGAGGGGGGGGCGAGGAACAATAGAGAGTGAGAAATCGGTGTAAGAAAGAGGAAGGGGACAGGCGACAGAGAAGAAATCTTCAGGAAGTCTTGGCACAACACGTCCAGGAGAGAGTGTGGTGTTCTTTGCTCCTGCAAAAGGAACACAAGTGGAGGCAGTCCTCTTTGTGGAGGGAGGCACACTGAGAGGTGGCGTCAGGGGCTCAGATGTTCCAGTTGATGCAAATAACCTGGTTGTCAGGAGTGGCAAGGCCGAAACCAGGGTTGCATTTCGCCCATGCGACCTTTCCATTGGCAAATTTGGTGGGAGTGGTGGCCTTGAGATGGAAGAAAACGGTATGTCCCCTACATGCACAGATAAGGCAGATGGCAGTGGAGGAAGACTTGCCACTGCCTGACAGAAAGGGCTGGGATTCAGAGATCAGTGAAGTGGAAGGTCCTTATGGTGGGACCCTTTGAGAAAAGGAACCATTAGCCTGGTAAGGCGGACCCTGAGGCCGCCCAGTTGCCATCTGGGAAGAATTGACAAAGTCCTGTAATTCTTTGCGCAGCTTATGAGTCAAGTTATGGCTCTCCTCAGTAAGACCCAATGCCTTGTCATAGTCTGTAGCACTGAACTTGAGGTGGCAGCTGTGGTGGTCCTGGCAGGACTCGAGTTCCATGACCTTCCACGTGTCATATAATTCATCTCTCTTGTTCAACATGTTAAAAAAATTGAAATGCTTTTCAAACCAAGTGGCATGTTCGCCTTCACTGCCTGACTTGTCCCTCAAGATCTGAAAGCTCCACATATTAGCAGCAGCCTCAGACCACTGGCTACAAGTAAGGGTTAATTCCTTTCCAAAATGGTTGGAGAGTTTCTCTATATTTAGAATATAAGTGCCCTTGGTCTCACTGGGTGCAGGGTTAGACTTGACAGTAGGAAGGGTTGATGCCTCATCAACAAGGAACCATAAATTCTGGGTGAGAAAGAAAGGAAGAGGAACTGCAACACAAAGTTCAGTGTCATATAAAGACTGTGGGAATTCAATAGGAATAGGCTCCCCAACCACCCTCTCAACGTGGTTGGAACCATCCATACACTGTCTTTTGGAGACCCTGGCATCCTCAGCAAGAATATCGTCATCCTTCCTCTTCTTCTCTTCTTTTTCTTTCAACTCCTCATCAGCAAGATGCCTCACAAGGCTGCTGTAAATGAAATCACAGACGGAAGCAAAGAAGGAGGGGACCCTTAATCGGGCAAGATCCTCAGGATCGATAGTGATCAAGGAGGCAACTTCTGATCCCGGTTGAGGGTGGCTGACGGGGTCTAGAGCGTTATTCAATGTCTTGGCAGATCTGGCATCATTATCTGCCTCAATTTGTTTGTTCCAGTGTAGGATGTTGGTCAGCGACAGGTTCTTCAAAAGCTGGGTAATAGTGGGAGAGGTGTGGGTATGTGGAACGCA